GGGTATAGTGAAAAATGGCTAAAACATTAACCATTTTTTGTTGCTATCAGTGTCTTTCTGTCTAAGTGACACCTGCAGCTGCTTATTATTTTTCTAGGGTCACTAGGACGGAAAGTGAAGTAAACCTCCCCAATAAGAATTCTTTTTTAACATTTTGACTGGAGGTTGACTTCAAAGTAGAATTATGGGATAAAATAACCCAAAAAGCAAACATGTAATATAACATCAAAAGTAAAGATATGAGAGGTTACAGTTCATAAAAAAATGGAGACATCAAGTCTTTAGTTGTACTGTAAAGGATCAATGTTTTTTACTTTCATGCATTCTATGCATGGAGGTAAAAAAAAAACCTGTGTGCAGCAGTGCCCCCAGCCCCCTCAATACTTACCTGTGCCCCGTCGCGATCCAGCAATGTGAATGACAGTCTCAGCTGGCCCAGGTCTCTGCCTCCTCATTCGCTGAGACAGAAAGCCAGACAATCACAGACAGTAAGCCAATGAGCAGAGAGAGAGAGCGGGCCCAAGCCGAGACTCCGTGTGTGAATGGACACACGGAGCAGCAGGTGCCCCCATAGCAAGCTGCTTGCTGTGGGGGCACCTGACAGGAGGGAGAGGCCAGGAGAGCCTGCGGGGGACCCGAGAAGAGGAGGATCCGGGCTGCTTTGAGCAAAACCACTGCACACAGCAGGTCAGTATAGACATGTTTGTTATTTTTCAAAAAAGAAAAAAAATAACCTTTAGAATCACTTTAAGTGTTAGGGTGATAACAAATGGTATGGATTAGTGATATTTTAAAGGGTCATATGCTAAACGTCCCATGCCCTAATGATCCACTCAAGGTTTTGGGTGTCAAGAACAAATGTACCGCCCCCTCCTCTCTTTGTTGGGGTGAACGAGCAAGCTCAGGTATATGTGGTGCTCTGCAGAGATAGATGGAGTGTGCACTCCGAGGGTAATGAATGTAGCTACTGTATGACCACCTTTTAATATCTATGGTCAGCCAAATTAAAAAAAAAAATCTGAAGCTTTCAAAATAATACCTGGTGATCCTACCATGTAGGTCCTTGTTCAGGCACTTACTGTTATAATGTGACAATACTCTATCCTTGACTCCCAAAAGTGGCCATATTATTATTATTATTATACAGTATTTATAAAGCACCAATAGTTTGCTCAGCGCTGTACATTACAAAGGGGGACAGAACATGTGACAGAACAATACCAATACAATGCAAAACATGAGGGGATCGAGGGCCCTGCTCTTTCGAGCTTACAATCTAGGAGGGAGGGGATGGTGGCACAGGAGGAGATAGCTGTGGGGGATGGAGTGGTAGGAAGAGTGGAGGAGGTCGGCAAGTTAGCAGGGGGTGGGGTAGGCTTCCCTGAAGAGATGGGTTTTCAGGGTGCGCCTAAAGGAGAGGAGAGTAGGTGATAATCTGATGGGTTGGGGCAGGGAGTTCCAGAGGATGGATGACACCCTGGAGAAGTCCTGGAGGCGGGCATGGGAGGAGGAGACCAGGGAACTAGAGAGAAGGTCTTGAGAGGAGCGGAGTGTGCGTGCTGGGTGGTACACATATTACACAAGTATGGCCCACCATTGTCACCACAATGGATGAGCTTGGGTACATTGGAATCTGGAATTGGCCGAACCTGGAAGGCAGGCCAATGAGCTGTGGTGAGCTTCTTGTACACAGCTGAGATGCTTGTGCCATCATTGATCTAATACAGCCATGGCTTCCTATACACAAGGAGGTGAGAGTGCTCATGACATCATTGATCCAATGTGGTTACATGGCCATGTTAGCTCATTGACCCAAGCTCTTCCCTAGTAACCACCAAAATGCCATCACTGAAGTGCACAACGAAGGGATATGGCTGTAAAGGGGTTTACTTAAAAACAAGAAGACGATTTTTATAATACCCAGGGCTTTAGCAAAATAATGTATTCGATGTCAGCCAAGTAATGTAATCAATTTATGGTTCACATTTACTTCAAGCAGAAGGAGAAATAAGGCTCATATCAGGACTTTATTTTAGTTTCTAGGTGATGGTGATATGTTTCATTCCTACAAAAAACAGGTAAAAAAAATCAGACACCCAATATACATCTAGCAGTGATTCCCAGGCAGAAGGGCAAGAACAAGCTATTGAAAGTGTAATGTAGAACCTGCCATGGCAGCTCCTTAACCCCCTGTGGCCCTCATCAACACTCCTGCTCTGTGCTGCAGCTTGTAATGTGAATTAACCCACACTAGCACAGTGGGGCCTATTCAGAATTATAATGACCCTACATTGTCATGCTATTCATATGCAAAGAAAACACACACATTACATAGGCTCAGCCTGAAGTTAAGAGTCATCCCCTCCCACATCCTCTATGTCCTGAGTACATCTAATTCATCCCATCCTCCCAAAACTCCACTCTCTTGGCCTCCGAGACTCCGCTCTCTCCTGGCTCTCCTCCTGTCTATCGCAGAGCTCCTTCAGAGTTACCTATAACTCTGCCTCCTCCTTTTCACTCCCTCTTTCTGTTGGGGTCCCTCAAGGTTCCGTCCTTGGACACCTACTCTTCTCCATCAACACCTCCTCCCTTGGTCACTTGATAAACTCCCATGGCTTGAAGTACCATCTCTATGCTGATGACACACACATCTATCTTTCTACCCCTCACCTCACCCCTTCAGTCTCCTCTCGCATTACTAACCTACTAAGTGACATATCGGCATGGATGTCACTCCACTTCCTCAAACTCAATATTTCCAAAACTGAGCTCTTAGTATTCCCTCTAGCCCGTGCCCCCTCCCCTGACTTCTCCATCAAGATCAACAACCATCAGTCCGTCCCCTCATGCCAGGGTGCTAGGTGAAATCCTAGACTCCCATCTGTCCTTTCATTTATAACTCTGCCCCACAATACATATCTTGTCTCCAAATATCACCCAAACCGTACTCTCTGCTCCTCGCACGACCTCCTGCTCTCTGGCTCCCTTGTCTCCTCCCCCTATGCTCATCTCCAGGACTTCTCCAGAGCTTCCCCCATCCTCTGAAACTCTCAACCCCAATTTATCAGACTATCGCCTACTCTGCTCACTTTTAGGCGATCTCTGAAAACCTCTCTCTTCAGGGAAGCCTATCCTGCCATCAGCTAATAATGGAATCTTCTACTCTTCCAACCAGTCCATCCCCCACAGTTACTACCGTTTGTACCACTAGCCCCCCCCACCTAGATTGTAAGCTCCAAGGAGCAGGGCCCTCCTATCCCTCTTGTATTGAACTGTATTGTTGCTGTAGTGTCTCCCGTTATATTGTGAAGCGCTGAGCAAACTGTTGGTGCTATACATGAGCGGACTGACCATTTGGAAACTTGGGCACTGCCTGAGGGCCCGGGGTCAGTAGGGGGCCCCATGAGATGCCTCTGGTCCCTTTTTCATAGGATTTTTTGAGTTTGGGCAAGGACACAGGGGCCCCATGATCCCCTATTACCCGGGGGCCCCATGAGTTGTCAGTCCGCCCCTGGTGCTATATAAATCCTGTATAATAATAATAATCCTAACCAGAAATTGGTTTTATCACTTATTGACTTCTTATATTGCTGGGTAAACCAATGATTAGATTGCCCTTGCTTTACTTTCAGTTCATTCACCATGGTGCCTACAGAAGCAAAATGGGGGTCAGCAGATGGGGGCCATCATTATGGCGTATTGTTTGTAGAATGTTGAGGAAAAAAAATTATTTAATCCATTTTGGAATAAGGCTGCAACATAACAAAATGTGGCAAATGTTAAGCGCTTTGAATACTTTCTGGATGCACTGTATATACTCAATATGGGCAAAAGTATGTTTCCAGTGAAGGGTTCTGTTAATACCGTAGCATACATAAATATTTTAGACAATTGTTCTCCTCCATCCTTGTGGTTACAGTTTAGATAAGGTACTTTTTTTGTTCCACTATGACTGTGCCCCTGTGTACAACACCAGCTCCATAAATACATGGTTTGTTGAGTTTGGATGGAGGAACTTGAGTAGCATGCACAGAACACTGACCCTCAACCCCACTGAGCACCTTTGGGTGAGCTGGAATATCGCTTGAGAGCCAGGTCTTCTCATCCAATAACAGTACCAGACCCCACAAATGCTTAGAGCTGTGAATACTTTCTGAATGCACTGTATACACAACAAGCTGTAACCTCAAGGTACAATGGACAGTGAAGCAGCAGAGTTGCTTCATGCATTTTTCATGAACCAACTTTGGCTGCAGGACTGAGCGTGGGTTCACTTCACATTTTCTTCAGAAGTAATGTGAAAACTGCATACGTTTATACCTGTGAAGGTACGCATGTATCCAGGTTATGGTAAATCTAGTAGAAGTTAGTGACATTCTGTAAGGCTGACTAGAGGTGGAGTTGAAAAAGTGGTTTGGAGAAGCTACAAAACATCTCCGACATTATAGCACAAGTCCAATTGAATGTGACTTCTACTACTAGATATACCGTATTTTTCGCTCCATAAGACGCACTTTTTTCCCCCAAAAAAAGGGGGGAAAATGTCAGTGCGTCTTATGGAGCGAATATGGAGCGGCCGGTCCGGTATTTCCACCAGAATACCGGGCAGGCCGCTCAGCTCTGCAGCGGGACCTTATGGAGATGACTGCTGACCTTTGGGGAGGGGGGAGGAGCGGGTACCTGAATTTGACAAGTACCCGCTCTTACTTCCGTGGAGTTGTTCTTTGATCTTACCTGTTCCTCTATCCAGCGGCGCGCTGTCTTCCCGGCTTCTGTAGTGTGGGCGCTCGGCATGACAGCCGGGTGCCAAGTGCGCATGCGCAAGAAGCGGTGCTTTTTGTGAATGGTAAGGTGGTACCTGGGACACATGACAGATGCCAGAAGCCGCCGGACCAATCACAAAGCGCAAGGGTTTCTCGCCCATGCGCACTTGGCACCCGGCTGTCATGCCGAGCGCCGACACAGAAGCCGGGAAGACAGCGCTCGGCTGGATAGAGGAACAGGTAAGATCAAATAACAACTCCGCGGAAGTAAGAGCGGGTACTTGTCAAATTCAGGTACCCGCTCCCCCCCCCCCTCCCCAAAGGTCAGCAGTCATCTCCGGTACTGTCCGCAGTCTCTGGTCATCCCTGTGCTGTCCGCAGTCTCTGGTCATCCCTGTGCTGTCCGCAGTCTCTGGTCATCTCCTGTACTGTGTCTGCAGTCTCTGGTCATCCCTGTGCTGTGTCCGCAGTCTCTGGTCATCTCCGGTACTGTCCACAGTCTGTGGTCATCCCTGTGCTGTCCGCAGTCTCTGGTCATCTCCTGTACTATGTCCGCAGTCTCTGGTCATCTCCTGTACTGTGTCTGCAGTCTCTGGTCATCTCCTGTACAGTGTCCGCAGTCTCTGGTCATCTCCTGTACTATGTCCGCAGTCTCTGGTCATCTCCTGTACTATGTCCGCAGTCTCTGGTCATCTCCTGTACTATGTCCGCAGTCTCTGGTCATCTCCTGTACTATGTCCGCAGTCTCTGGTCATCTCCTGTACTATGTCCGCAGTCTCTGGTCATCTCCTGTACTATGTCCGCAGTCTCTGGTCATCTCCTGTACTGTGTCCGCAGTCTGTGGTCCTCCCTGTGCTGTCCGCAGTCTCTGGTCATCTCCTGTACTATGTCTGCAGTCCATTTCTTTTCCTGTTTTCTGCCTCTAAAACCTAGGTGCGTCTTATGGAGCGAAAAATACGGTACATATGTGTAGCTATTATCACCTGGGCTTTGTTCAATTTTATATACCTAAGTTGGCTGAGGAGGATCAAAAAGAGAGAGAGAGGATGATATGAGGATCAAGAGATACCAGTTTGAAATTCCTCAAAACACATCTGATGTATCTGCCGTTTCATTGCTCATAGTACCCCAAGGTCCCAATATTTGTGCATATAAGATACATTTGTTGAGTTTATTATAAGAGACTTTATTGTATAGTATGAATTATGAGAACTGGTATTATATAAACTAGGACAAAAAGGCTCTCTGGGTGAAAAACAGTAAGTTGATGGTACACATTTCCAATGCAGTGACTTTTTTCAAATGGGAAGGACTTTGTAGATCTATCACTAACCACTCAGTCAAAAGATCAGCTGTTTCTGAGTGGAAGTGTAGCGACAGGACCACCCATTGCTTGAATTTTACCTAATTCAACGGGAATCAGCCAAACTTTGTACTGTATATGTCCTCTTTTAATAAAGTGTTTGCCTGTGGTCACTTCCCTGGTGCCCAGCTAAAGTTGGCTTTTAAGATTTTTAAGATTTAGGCTTTTAAGATTTATAAGATTTTCATAAATTCTATTCAGTGCATTTGACAACCTGACTAATGTAATTCAAAAGTACTTAAAGTAAAACTAAAGGCAATACTTGAAGAGGGATCAGAACCAGAACCCCTGTCAGCTTTTTATTGCTGTCTGTACCCCCATTACGGAGATTCCCCCCTCTCTATTTGTCCTGTATACCATTATCGTTAAAAGTGAAAGTAAAAGAATATCTCAAATTTTGGATTATCCTCTGAACAGTAATAGAGGGAAAATCTTACTAAGGGGACACTATTTCTGGTGATTTGGGGGCCCCTGGGGATTCCCATAATTTTGTGGGGATTTTCTCTCACTTCCTGCTTGGCTATGGGACAGGAAGTGAAGTAAAATCTCTCCAATGGAAAACAGATGAAAAAAAAAAATCCGATAAGGGTTATAACGGATGTGGGGCAGCACAGTGGCTAAATGGTTAGCACTTCTACCTGGCAGTACTCGGGTCGCTGGTTCGAATCCCAACCATGGCACCACCTGTCTGGAGTTTTCATGTTCTCCCTGAGCCTGCGTGGGTTTCCTCTGGATACTCCAGTTTCCAAAGACATGCTGGTAGGTGAATTGGATCCTGTCTAAATTGTCCCTAGTATGTGTATGTATGAATGTGAGTTAGGGACCTTAGATTGTACGCTCCTTAAGGGTTAGGGACTGATGTGAATGTACAATATATATGTAAAGTGCTGCGTAAATTGACGGCGATATATAAGTACCTGAAATAAATAAATAACCCTTCTGTGCTCTATTCAAAATGAAAAGAAAGGTTATGCCTTCTGTTCTTCTTTAAAAAAAAAAAAGGTTGCTTTTAACATTCAATTTTGGAGCAAATGGACTTTCTCAAAAGACTACCTTCACTGTTAGAAATTTGATCGCTCAGGAAAAAAAAATTAAATTTTTTGCTCCCCATTTTGGAAAGAAATTCTGCTAGGCCAATAGGAAAATGACGGCCGAGCGGGACTCTCGTCGATTCGGGTGGGCGTCATATGACGTCCTCCCAGATCGTGCCCTACACCTACCTGCAAGGCCGCGCTGTGGCGAGATCTGTCACCGGCTATGTACCTCGGACACTGGCCTCGGATGACTGGTCTGTGTACTGGCCCATTGTCAGTACCATGTGACCTGCTGTGACCAATCAAGCAGGTCAGAAGACAATTGTAAACAATGGATGGCTTCCTTTCATGCCATCCATTGTATACAATTGTGTCACTAGCTGTGATTGGTCACAATGATCACATGCACAGATGCACAGACTGGGCCAATCACAGCCCATCTGTGTCATGTGATGAGCCATGGCCAATCACAGCTTTTCACAGATCCTGTCGCTGTGCGATGGATCCCCTCGGGCCATGGTGGTGTGAGTGCGCATGCGCGGGAGAGTGCGGGCGCGCATGCGCAGAAGCACGGAAGTGCACACATGCGCAGTAGCGTACACGTCACCACAAAGCTTGCTATTTAAACCTGCAATACAGTGAAATCAATGCCTTCTGGTCTATAACGTCCCTGCACTCCATTACCTGATTCTGTTGCCTGTATCCTGATCTGACCTGACTAAGAAAGAACTCCGCCTGCACCGACCCCGGTTATCCCTGACTATCCGCTTGCCTGCTCCCTTGTACTTGATTTGCTCGTTTGATCCTGACCCGGCTTGTCTGACTCTGCTGCACCTACTTACCTGTATCTGCACCTGGCTTGCTTCCTGACGGCTGCCATACTTACCTGCTGCATCACCCACGGTCCTGCACCCGGCCTGCATCCTGGTCACTGCCATACCTGCCTGCTGCTGCACCTACGTTCCTGCATCCGCACCTGGCCTGCATCCAGATCTCCTGGGTCTTCACCTACCTGCCGCCAGCTCCAGACCTACCCGGTACTTGTGCCACTTCTGGCTCTGCGCCCTCTGTTCCCACTATCAGGGGCTCTGAGCAGGAGTAGTAAGAGGACGCCTCCTCTCCATGTCAGGCTCCCCAACCAGGTACGTGACACAGCTAATCACAACAAAAAAATCCTGAATTAATCTATTCAGTTAAATGCTTGTTTATAGCAAAGAAATTACTTGCTATAAGCAATCATATTGTGTAAAGAAAAAAAAACCTCCCCAAAGTAGTACAATGTTACTATTATTCTACTTTGCTCAAAGTGTAATATGAAAAAAAAATCTTAAAAAAATTAAAAAAGTAATAAAAAATAAAAAAATTATACAAAAAAATTGAAAAGAAATTATAATTTTTTTTTTTTTTACTGTCACCAGTCAGTGTCCATGATCACCACCACACTAGTTATATGATGATGCTGTACTGCACTGGTGACAGTATGTAAAAAACAAATTGTGAAAATAATTTATTTTAATTTCCTAATTTTCCAAAAAATGATGACAACAAAATTACAACTTCAAAAAACTTGCCATGGCTCTTATGAAATACATCGGACTGTCTACTTTGTAAAAAGGGGTCATTTGGGGGATATCTGTACTGTTCTGACATTTTTGAACCTTGAGAAATTGATTGACCGTCTACTTCAGGATTGATCAATTTTCATATATTCTATATCCCATAGTTTGTGAACTCTATAACTTTCCTACAGACTAAATAATAAATACTGATTTGGGTTATTTTCACCAAAGAAATGTAGCAGAATACATCTCGGCCTAAATTTATGAAGAACAATTATTTATTTGCTGAATTTTGTAACAGAAACAAAAAAACACTTTTTCAAACTTTTCGGTCTTTTTTTGTTTATTTAGCAAAAAATAAAAACCCCACTGGTGATTAAACACCACCAACAATGTGTGAACAAAATTATAAAAATTTAGTTTGAGTACAGTGTTGCATGACCACACAATTGTCATTCAAAGTGTGAGAGCGCTGAAAGCTGAAAATTGGCCTGGACAGGAAGGGGGTAAAAGTGCCCGGTACTGAAGTGGTTAAATCAGCCCGTTAATTTTTTTGACCCCCTAAGAAATCTTGACACATTGGAAAAAAGGGCAAGCACTACTTATGAGGAATGTGGCACAATGTTCATTCCATTCACACCTGTGTGCTGTGGTGTGTTTGTAGGCAGGGCCAGCGCTACCGCTAGGCGAACTAGGCAGCCGTTTAGGGCACACTGCCAGCTAGGGCACAGCCGCGGCCGCTGGTTTCCCTGCTCTAAATTTTTCCTGTTTGCTGAGAATTGTAGCACATAGAGTGTTTTTTTACCTCTGGTTTTAAGTTCACTTTGCTTTTTTTACTTTATTTATTTGAATTGTGGCAAAAAAAATGTCATCTGGTACCTGTAGTCTGCCTAGCCACTGCTGTGTCCATAGGTAGTGGGGCAGTGTGGTTTCAATGTCTCTAGAAGGAGCAGAGAGCTCCAAGCGCGTAGCCTGCCCTCCAAGGCACCGGAACTTCCCCCTGTGATATCACGTCTGCCTCGTGTCAGGGGCGGACTGACAACTCATGGGGCCCCCGGGCAATAGGGGATCATGGGGCCCCTGTGTCCTTGCCCAAACTCAACAAAGCCTATGAAAAAGGTACCAGGGGCATCTCATGGGGCCCCCTACTGACCCCAGGCCCTCGGGCAGTGCCCGAGTTTCCACATGGTCAGTCCGCCTCTGCCTCGTGTGCATTCCAAGCTGGCCAAGGTACTTCCGGTTGCTCGGCAGCATCCTGGCATCTCTCCTTCTCTCCATGCAGGCCTCCAGACCCACACTGGCTGATCCTTAGGACAGGAAGGACTGATGATGACCATTATCGATGATAAGCGACATTTTATTTCTTTCTTGAGAGTGTTTAACATTGCTTGCTTATTAACCCCCCTGGCGGTATTCCCGAGTGTAGCTCGGGGTTAACTTTCAGCACCACAAGCGGTAACCCCGAGCTACACTCTGGAATACACTGCACTGTTGCTCCGGGATCCCTCCAGCACTTACCTTGTCCTGCGCTCCCGCGATGTCCCTCCTGCAGTGTCCCCGGCAATGTCCTCCGGCCGATGCCGGCATCCATCTTCCAGGTTCCGTTCCCTACTCTTGACAGATTTCAGTGAGTTATTCCTAAAAATTACAGGCCTACAATAAAAAAAACGACATATTTCCATGCAAAAAAAAAGTACCGCTTTGAGCACAGAAATACTGCCATAATCAGACTGCTAGGGAGG